TCTTTATATACCTTTTTATATACCTACCTGCTATGTAAATATTTGCCTATGTCAAACGTTGGAATTCTGTAATTGTTCCATTTCTTAACTTTCAGTCAACATAAATTAAACTCCGAATATAAGTATTTTTTATCCCAAGTCAAAAAAATAAGAAGATAGTAAAATCCATTTATTGTGGTATAAAAACATTATTATTATCGTTCTAAATAAATGACCGCACGCCTATGATACGTCATGAAATTACAAAGGACGCGCCGACCAACGGTTTTTATGCTATTTCAAGTGACTTCAGATAAAGTATACACTGGTCATTGCAAATTGCGTCACCACATGAACAGGCTGGGTATGGCGGAAGACTGTGAGTGAACACTGTGCATGAATGGAGATGAAACGGTCAGGCATGTATTGTGCAGATGCCCTGCAATTGCCAGGATCAGGTACAACATACTTGGAGACGTGGTACTCCAAGCAAAAGACCTGAAGGATATTTCTCCAAAGAAGTTGGGAGAAATATAAATAGGTGTGAGCTACAATAAACCTAAGAGTCGCAGTGGAGGATTGATGCACTCACAAGAAACTCGACCTAAGATATACGTGAAGGTCTCTGTATGAACTTTCAACATCCGAAGGTATGATTATGTCGGCGTCAAACGCTGAAATCAATCATTCTCTGAAATGCCTAGTCAGTCCCGTATTGCCGGAAAATACCGTAACAGTCTGATTATTACAAGGTCTGACTAAGCATTTCAGTTATTCCCTGTAATGACTGAAGAATTTCAGTCAAACACTGTAACAACCACATTAACTTCGTTACTGCCTGTGCCTGATTCAGTCAGTCATTGTACCAGTTTTGTATTCTTTTGCTTGAGTATACACATCGTCTTTTCTGTGTTTGCAAAAATCTCGCAACATTCAGAATTGTTTTCCAAGAAACTAATTGAATACTACGACAGTGTGAATGAGAAAAAACCATTGAATTTTTATAATTTTGTGAACCTAACCTAAATTATAAGGAACATAGGCTTGCTCAACAGCAGCATCCATTGTTGCCGGATTTCGTATATAAATACTTGATTAAAAAAACAATAATGTACTAATAGAGACATCGCTTTAATCTATTCTTCTTTCCTGTTAGATTAATTCATGCTTCAATATTATTGATAGAGTAGTACCTTGTTATATTATGTACTTTATTGGAGCAACACTGTATTATTGATTACAGCGTTTGACTAAAATAGGCGAATGCAGTAACGAAGTTAATGTGGTTGTTACGGTGTTTGACGAAAATTGTTCAGTCATTACAGGGGATGACCGAAATGGTTAGTCAAACGTCGTAATAATTAAACAGTTACGGTGTTTACCGGCAATACGGGGACTGACTAGGCATTTCAGGGAACGACGGATTTCAGGGTTTGACGCCGACATACGAGGGATGTCTTTTAACTTTTGCATATGGAAATAAAACAACACGGTAGGTAGTTTTAAATGACTTTATTGTTTTTCGAAGTATTCTTCACGAAGATTAATACAAATCTGCATGCGCTCGAACCAATTTTCGAAGCACTTATTCCACTCGTTTGCTGGCAGATCCAAAACGGCATTTTTGAATGCGTCAACTGCTTCTTCTGGTGACTGGAACCTTTGACCACGCAGTCTGTTTTTAATTTTCGGGGAAGTAAAGAAATTGTTAGGGCTTAGATCGGGACTATATGGAGGATGGTCCAATAATTCCACGTCTTGTTTTTTGGGCTGTGTGCGAGTTTGCATTGTCTTGGTGGAGGATGATTCTTCTTTTGGGGGTTGATTTTTCGAAGCTCGGTGATGACTTTTGGCAAACAAATAATGGTATACCAATCCGCAGTAACAGTTCTTTGCTCATTAAGAGGAATTGTTGCAATTTTGCTTTTGACACAAATGTCGCAACCATCTTTTTCGAAACACTTCGAGAACGGATGACTTTTGTGGAGTTTTCTTCACCTTGGAACGCCCAAACAGCCGACTGTCGTTTATTTTCTGGTTCATAACAGTAAATCCACGATTCACCACCACTAACAAATCTGTACACATTTTTTGAGTTTCCGGAATTGAAACGGTCAAGCGTTTGTTGTGAAACTTTGAATTTAAGTTTACTAAAGAGTGAGGTTAAGATTCAGTACTGACGTTCGATCCGCGCGGCCTACTACGTTTCTATATGCAAAACTTAAAAGACATCCTTCGTATACAGAACAAAACGCAAGTTTTCAGTTTTCTGTTGTTCTTGTTGAAGTGACATAAGTATTTGTTTTGGTACTGAAGCAAAAAATTAAAACATTATTTTCATTTTAGTTAAAACATCGTTAGTGTTCCCAGGAAAGTCTGTGGTTTGTTGAAAGGTCGATCACGAAATTGACAGTTGGCCTTGCTGGACTGCAAGTGCCTTATAAGGAACATCTAGGAATCGTGAAAATATAATTACTTTGTTTTTCGTTGAAAGGGCCGTCGGGTATATTGTACCGATTTTTTAATTGTACCACCTCAATGCTTATTGAAATATAGATTTCTCACGCCATTTGCAACATTATGGCCTCACAACACGGCCATGTTGGTAGGGTCAAGTTTTTTAGTTTCATTATAAGGGTATTATAACATTTTTACGAATACATTCTGAGTTTTACAATAGACATTCAGTCTGATTCGTTGAGTATTTTTTATGAGAATATATTATTTAAGTATTTAATGCTTCATTTTAATGAAATACCTTTTCATGTAATTTTGATCGCAACGTCAACTCCAAGTTAAGCGACTTATCGGCCTTATTATTATAGAGCCCTGTTTGTACGTAAGTGCTTAATAAAACTTAAATTTACTAAATATTCATTCACTCTGCAACAAAAAAGAATATTTTGTAAGTTACATAATAAAACAAAGTATTCAAACTTGTTTGTTTGGGAAAAATTACTGTTTATTTATTATGGTGGCATTTCATGGTCATGAGTTTCATGCACACAAAAAAATGAAGGGATCAAGAAAAAATCCAAATTTATCGGTGATTTTTGACAAGCTGCATTTCGGTGAAAAACGGTCTTCTCTAGACTCTGAAAAATGCATTTAAAAGCTTCAGAATTCTAGTTTCCATGTGTTAGCCGAAACATTTCAGAAGCAACGGTTCACATGCAATTCTGACAGACAGCGCAAGAAAAAAACTTTGTCACACCTTTGCCTCCTTTTTAGTCCATGGTCTTGTACATTTCTTTCTAATATGCTATCATATGGGTTAGATAGCTCGTTTCTTCATCTTCAATATCCTGTTTTTGGAATCCCTACACCAGTGGTCACCAACCCGTCGATAGCAAAGGCAATTCTGATGGCTCACAACATATTTCAAAAAATTGTAAAAATCATATAAGCTTCCGTAAATTTTTTAAATTCTCATAATAAATACAAGCAGCGGCAAATCTGCGGTGAGTGATCTGTTCGAGAACGATCTCTATTACTTTGAACAGAATAAATACGCAAGGCGGGACGGCACAAAGTCCAGCGGTTGGGTTAGAGTTGGCCTGCACAAACATAAGAGCAGTAGTAAGTTGTTGAAGAAATACCATTTCCATTCGGAATGGGAAGAACAATATTTCTTTGCAGAAGTTACGCGTAAAAATGTATGGTTGATATGTAATACATCTGTTTCCGTTGCTAAAAAAGGGAATATCGAGACGCACTATAAAACTGTACATTCGAATTTTGAAAAATCATTCCCGTTACGTACTGCAACCAGAACGGAAAAACCGAAACAATGAAAAAATCAGTTAATTGGACAACGGACAACGTTTTTAAAAACAATCGACAAAAGTAACGCTGCAAATGAAGCATCATACCGGGTGGCCCAGATAATTACACAAAAGAAGCAACCTTATGAAGACAGAAAAATGTTAAAATAGGCGTTTTTAGAAGCGGCAGATTCATTATTTGCCAACTTTACAAATAAAGACGAGATAGTGTCTGCTATAAAATCTGTGCAACTTTCTGCTAATACAGTGGCGAGACGAGTAAAAGTAATGAGCAATCATATAGTTTTACAGTTAAGAAATGACTTCAATAACTGTGCTTATTTTTCACTGCATCAACAGATGTCGTTGACGCCTCTCAGATGACCGTGTTCGTCTTGTTGGATTTTAGTCATTTTACGATTAAAGAAGATCTTTTGAAGTTTATTCCACTAGTACGGACTACTGGGCAGGAATTGTTTCCTTCTTTTAAAAATATTATTTCTTCTGAAAAAATTGCAATATCGAAAATGGTAGGCTTGACAACCGATGGCGCTCCAGCTATGGTGGGTTGTGATGAGGGTCTCGCCGGGTTATGTCGTAAAGATGAAAGTTTTCTGCAATTTCTCTGTTACCACTGAATTATCCATCAAAAAGTATTATGTGGAGATTTTCTAAAACTAAGCAACGTTATAAAATTGGTAGTAAAAACTATGAAATAGAGCTCAAGCGTTACAAAAATTGTTATTCAAAACCTTGGCCGATGAAATTGACTTTCAATACGGGTAACTACTTCTTTACTCTGAAGTCCGATGGTTAAGTAGAGGACGATTGCTGAAACGTTTTAATGATATCATATCTTCCATAGTTCAATTATTCAAACAACGTGATGAACCGATCCGGAATTGGAAAATTCAATCTGATTGTAAAATTAAAAGTATAAATTCGCATGCCTTGCGTTTGAACGCTGTTGTGCACTGGATTTTTAGGATGAAGGTAAGTGGTTGAACAATCTTGTCGTCATGATCAAAGTACCCTTGGACACCGAAGCAAGCTTATGAATGGATATAACAACATTGAAATTCGCGCGGAGATAGTAGCCTCATGTGCTAATGATATTATCCCTAGTTAGTTATTGATTATAATTATCCCTGATATAGATTAAACACTTATAAATATACAAGGACTACACCATCATTATGAGCTTGTTAAAGGTCCCCCAAAATGGATTCTTTCTTATTGCCTTAATTTTTATTTTACCTTTTGAAATACGTCAGCTAATGCAGCACTAGCGTTACCGATAGCTCTGCAATTGATGTACCAAAGTGCGCAGTTCATGTTTATCATCGTAATTATATGATAGTAGGCCGTGGTGTGGTACAGCGTATACCCTTCCAATAGGGTACTAAGTGTCAAAAGGAAAACTACTGCTAAAATTAAGCAGCCCAGGCTGATTACCCCGATCAGAGTGCTTAGCAGAGGGAACTCCATGTTTTTACCTACAATTATAACATGATAAGGCTGGCGTAGGTACTCATGCTAATCGTACATTTTGCTTGTCAATTAAGATGTTGTATTAGTGGTATCCGAGGTCTTGGTGTCGTTAAGCATACAGACACACAGTATTCTCCCCAAGCAATGTAATAATTGTGCAAAAATCAACTTTGACAAGCGATTGACGGAGGGTGATGACAGAAACGAGCGATTTGATACCACACACACTACGTCTTACTTAACGATTAAAGACTTTACGATCAAAACGTACGATTTACATATACATACAACAATAGGCTACTTGAATCATATTTAATTTCATAGAATAAATGAGTATTTCTTACAGTATTTGGCTTAGGCCCGTATTGTCAGTCGTCCCTACAATCGTAGGGCGCGTTTATGGCCTCCTTGATTGTCATACTCCTTTCTCTCCTTCAAAAATTTCTAGATTACACTTGTCCCGTGTCAGCATCAGCGCTCTCCTATTGTGAAGATATGTTTTCTTTTTAAATTGTAGGAAATTTCAGGCTGATAAAACATGATATAACTCAAAAGCAAGCACAATTTGATGCAAATAGATGTTTGTGACATAACCTCAAAATAGAGTTCTGACACGGAGAAGTAGAAAACTATGAAAATCTAGGAGGCCATAAAGGCGCCCTACAATTGTAGGGACGACTGACGATACGGGCCTTAGGAAAGCAAAATATATTGATTTCAATTTTTAAAAGATCAAAACGGATACACGGGGTGTCCCAGAAGTTGACGGCAACCCTAATCGGGGGATGATAGTTATCAGAAAAATATAAAAAACTAAGTCATATACTTTTCAAATTATAGTCTTTGAAAAAAAAATCGGTAAAATATACACAAATATGTTGTAAATTTAATAAATACATTCACGAATCGATAAAAGTGGCGTTACTGTTTGTCTCTATGTTACTGCGTAGAATGACACTGTCAGTCACTCGGTCTGAGAAAGAATTGAAATTTTTACTAATGGGAACTAAAAGATTATCACAGGGTGTAGAATTTACCGATTTTTCCATTTTTTTTTTTTTTTGTTTCAAAGCCTATGATACACTTACTTAGATTTGTTGTATATTTTTCTGATAACTATTGTGACTTGGCATATTCCTCGACTTCTGGAACACCATGTATAGGTCAAATTTAAAAAAGCGTACTGTTCATTTTTAATACGAAATGGTGAAAACTCGTTCGGACATAATGTGACGTCATACAGATTGTAAACAAAGAAACGTCATCTGTATGTCACTCGTGGACTAAGGTTGTCTTCTTTAAGTGTTTCTAAAAAAACTCCTAATCAACGTAAAGGTTATCGTTTTCTTGTTTTATTGGAAAAAACAATCTTGGACGTTGGAGTCGTAAAAGACGAAACACAAACTTGCCGAAAACTGACACTTCGATGGTTTCTATTTTCTGCCTTAAACTAGATCTCTGCTCTACTGAGCTGAGGAGGTACAGTGCATCTGATATAATGAGAGACATAATAAGAAGTGCTATCAATTATCAGTTATGGTTTGATAGTTTTCTATCCATGCCTGGACTATTCGACTCAAATGCGCCTGCAGATTGCAGAATAACTGTTGGCGTTTTGTCTGTAACTTACGTAAATTTGACCACATATCTAATAGTTTCAGGCTTTTACAATGGCTTAATATCAATTCTCTGATCAAATATGTTTACCTAACTGCATTGCATCGTGTATTATATTCTAAGAATCCTGTATATTTAGTAGAAAAGCTGGTTCCTAGATCAAGTATACATAATGTCAATATAAGACATCAAAACTGTTTTACAATGCCTAACATCACTCTTTTATAGATCTTTCACGTATGATGCAGTGTATCTCTTTAACATCTACGGGGTGTTTCAGTTTATTGTTGCATAACTTTAAGATTCGATAGAACTTTTAAAATTAATGCATAAAGTCTATATAAACATGGGTCGAAAAATGCGTGGCTTCCGAAATACAGGGTGTTTAAATTTACTTTCTAAAATAGTTTTTTTTAATATTTCGAACAATATTTGATGTATAACAGTGAAAATTGGTATGCGAGGGTTTTTTGGTACGAGAAAACGAACCATGGACATAGTTTTACTGTAGCCGCTAGAGGGCGCTCTCTACTGTACCTGTAGTGTACTAAAATGACCGAAAAATTTTTCTAAGTGCAATTTTTTGCTTTTTGAATAAAAAACTGATTCTTCGCACTTTTTGTTATAGTTAGCCGTTTTTGAGATATTTCGATTTTTAAGGTTCGATGCAGTTTTAATTATTTATGGGAAAATAATATTTTTTTTACATTTTCGATTTGGGCATTACAAGTAATTAAGATGATCGTTTAGATTGTGTTTTTAAACACAACAATAATTCCTAACTCCAAATAAACACAAAAAAATAATATTAATTTGTTTGATTTTCCAATATTATTTTTAACAAATTATATTAATTATTTACAACTAAAATGCTATTGGATAGTTAGGACAAACATACAAAATCTAAAGTAGTTGCTCGAAATGTAAACCCAATTGTTCAATACACAATTCACATCTACGAATGATCGAACGTGGTATAGCATTATTCAAATAAGGCCTTATTTCATCACATGCATTCCTGATTCTGTCTATTAGCATATCTCTTGTCGTTACGGGAGTCTGGTACACTTTCTTCTTTTAGAAATCCCCACACAAAGAAATCTAATGGATTTAGGTCAGGGGATCGCGAAGGCCAGGCGACTGGTCCTCCACGGCCGATCCATATTTCTGGATAATTTTCGTCCAGCCAGTTTATAACTATTCTCAAATAATGAGCTGGACAACCATCAAGCTGGAACCAGGCCAATCTTCTTAAATCTAACATAACATCATCCCACATATTTGCATGTTCAGCCTTTAAAAATTCCAAGAAGGTCGCAGCATTTAACCTTGCAGGCAAAAGGTAGGGTCCAAATAGTCGATTACGGTAGATACCAATCCACACGTTCACACTAAATTCATGCTGAAAATTTCTTTCCCGAATTGCATGCGGATTTTCATGCGACCAAATATGTTGATTATGAAAATCTACCACTCCACGTCTAGTGAAGCATGACTCATCGGTCCATAAAACGTTACTTAAAAACTCCCTATTATTATCAGTTCTATCAAGAATCCACTGACAAAATGTGTTCTCCGTCCCCTGGCTGTAGTCCTTGCACAGGTTGCAAATGGTAAGGACGTCTATGGTACTTTCTAAGAACACGGTGAACATGGCTTGCTGAAATTCCCAAGGCACCCGAAACTCTCCTAAGACTTGTGGTCGGATCTCTATCAAACTCACGCAGAATCATACGGGTAAATCTGGGCTGACGAACATTTATGGAGATTTCCAAAACCATTTTCAATTATTTGGCGATGCACTCTTACAAATACTGAGCGAGTTGGATGTCGTCTGTTTGGAAATCTTCGTGCGTATTCTCTGGCTGCTTCTGCTGCGTTTCCATTTACAAAGCCATACACAAAATGAATATCCGCTAACTCTTGATTAGAGAATAAAAATAGCATTTTTATAAAACTTACAAAAAAAACAGGTAAAAGAAACTAAATTTCGTGTATTCACAATTGCAAAAAAACGTTTCAGGTTTCAACAGACAACAAAACTAACTGTCAACTAAATGACGTTTAACCTTATTCTGCTTTCAATTTCAAAAATATTTGCGCGTACAGCCTACTTCTAAAAATTATCGAGATACTGACTTTTCAACGTTATTTTATCATAAATAATTAAAAATGCATCGAACCTTAAAAATCGAAATATCTCAGAAACGGATGATTATAACGAAAATTCACAAGAGAGCTTTTTTATGTTGAAAAGTGCGAAGAATCAGTTTTTTATTCAAAAAGCAAAGAATTGCACTAAGAAAAAATTTTCGGTCATTTTAGTACACTACAGGTACAGTAGAGAGGGCCCTCTAGCGGCTACAGTAAAACTATGGTTCGTTTTATCGTACCAAAAAACCCTTGTATACCAATTTTCACTGTTATACATCAAATATTGTTCGAAATATTTAAAAAAAAACTATTTTAGAAAGTAAATTTAATATTTCGGAAGCCACGCATTTTTCGACCCATGTTTATATAGACTTTATGCATTAATTTTAAAAGTTCTATCGAATCTTAAAGTCATGCAACAATAAACTGAAACACCCTGTATATAGCAGAAATATTGATATATCAAATACTAATAACATCTGTTTCAAAGTGCATCTCAGACAACATCTTCTAGGAATTCAGCATAGGATCATTGAATAAATGGCCTGTGATCCATTATTATTATGTTCTTCTAGTTAAATTCATAGACATACTGTTTACTGTATATGTAAAATACCATATTTGTATGTCAAATTAGCTTTAGCTTTAGTCTTTAGAAAGGCTGAGTGTAAGAATAGCAGTGCTAAACTCCGCCAATAAAGCCGTTTATTATTATTATTATTATTAAGAAAGAATAAGCCTTACATAATCTTTCTTTTCAGAAGTTATTCAAAATTAAGCTCATGCGTCTTAGGCTCTAAATAATTTTATCTAATATTGTATTCGTCCTCACACATCTGGTAATGGTGCTGTGTAGCTTACGTCCAACTTAAACAAGACGATACTATATTCACAGTAAAATATAAAATACATATGTCCGGAACAAGGTGTGCGGTATGATCCAAGCAATACCCAGTGTTGCGTATATTTATTTCTCTGGTCACAGCTTTCCTGGGATCTTTATCGAAGTGTTTTTACATTCTTGGACGATACAATAACTATAATTACTATATTTTTTTTGAGAACTAGTAGAAGTCTTGTTTACGTGTTTCAAAATTTGAAAGGTTGTGCTGCTGTCAGATGCTGTTTACAATTAATTGGTATGACGTCAGAACACATTAATATGTGACAATCCTGACGGACAGTGTGAAAAATATATGTTTAAAGTTCTTTAGGTCTGAAAAAAATATGGTACTGATGTTTTTGGTTTAATAGAACAAATATTTAAGACCTACTTGAAAAAAGTGTCAACTAGCCTATTGTTAATTATCAAAGCAATTGAATGGGTCATTTCAAAATACTCATAAGTCGCACAATTCGAACTGTGTCATTAACAAACCAGTCTTAAAGAGCTTTTTTGGGCTTAATACAGTATTTGACTTTTAAAAGATGGAAATGTTGAAAAACCTTTGCAGTTTATTGGTAATAATAAAAAAAATAATAGATCGAAATAATCTCCTGCACTTATGTCGTTCTAACGGGAAACAGGGCTACTGGTATATTAAAAGAAAGCTAGTAGCACATAAATCTGAAAATAAAACAAATCAAGGATCCTAGTACTGGTTTTGAAATGTTCAAGTAAGTAGGTACTCGCAGAGTAGTGCAAGCAAAAACAACAAGGCACATGATTGTTCTAGCCTGAAATACTTCCTTTGAGGAAGCATTTCTATTAAAAAAATATTCTGAAAAGTGTGACTTGAGTGGTTTCTAAAATGACCGACCCATTTCTTATTCTATTGTTTTGTGGTCCAAGGCCAGTAAGCTGAGACATTGGGTGAAAAATTTAAGTAAAGCTAAAATTGGCTATGTCGTTCAGTTATATGGCTTCTAAACCATAATAACTTTGAGCACGGATTAACGTATTCTACGTGAAGATAGGCAACCATATACACACAGAATCAGAATTCTTATTAGTTCTGCAGTTAATATCATAGAATAGGGATGTTCGATACGATCCGATGTTTAGAAGTATCGATACTTTTACTTCCGATACCCAATTTTAAATCGATATTTTTATATACGATACTTGGGTGTATCGATACATTTCACGAGTATCGTTATCCTTCGATCCAGACTGTGTCAGAAAGAGCGACTAACTTCAGATTGCTTTTCTTTGTTTTTTTTCTTTCCGCTCGTGCTACTCACTCCACGGCCACTCATAATTTATTATGGATTCCAGGGTTGCCACATTAGGAGATATCGCCCAAAAATCAGGGAATTTCAATGGGCATATTTTTTTCTGGTGATTTCTCTTGGGAAAACACATTTAACTGGGGAGATATTATTTTGTAAAATTTTATTAACGATATTACATAATGTACTACACAAAATATGTCGCTCAAAAAAATATTTTAAGATCCGAGAATACCTAACAAATCGCAAACCTATGGTAACAAAAAGTAAATGGTATTTTTTCGGCTGTTTTTTGAATAGTCCCGAATTTAGGAGATTTTTAAATTTCGAGTGGGGAAATTGAGCTAAACGACCTGGCAACCCTGTTGGATTCGATTCCGGGGAATTTCACACACATGACTCACAGTGCTCTTGGCATTTGTCCATTAAAAATTATAGCTTAAAACCAAACATTATTGTGATAGTGCTGCCTCCTGAAAGAAGTGATTTGTGTAGCTATTTTGGAGCTTCTTACCTGTTTTTATTAGTGAACATTATTTGACAATCCAGTCATGCGCTTGAAAAAAGCAAACATATTTTGAGGGTTGTAGAAAAACAACTTCAATTTTCGCCAGTGTAGGTTCCGTATCGAAAGGTTTCGATATTTATATTCCGATATTTTAGAACATCGATACTTACTAAAACGATACGAATCGATGCATGGTATTGATACTTTTAGTGGATCGGAACATCCCTAGTATCGAACATGTCTGAAAATAGAAAACTTCAGTAAAAGTTGTAAAATAGCCTGTATCACAGTGTAAAACAAATAATATAAAATAAGTAACACATATACAGCAAATTAAAAACAAGACAAAATCAACATCACTAAATACAACATTTTTTTTATTCTATACTGTTTTCAGGCAATCTTAAAGATCTATGAGACAGTACCAAAATACAAAATTAAATTTAGAGATCTACTTCGAAAAGAGTTACGGTGTTTAGTTCTGCTATCATACTATAGATGGCGCTAGGATCTTCTATATCCTTCTGATGCCTCTCTAATGATTATTTCGATTCAATATCTTAAACAATGCCTGAAGATATCTAATTGAAATAAGCACTAGAGATGCGCCAAAAATGAATTGAAGCCCTTATCGCCATCTATGCAACAGCAGCAGATCCAAACACTATCAATAGATGCTATGGATTCATTTGCGTGGTGGGCATTCCCTTCGTCAGTCCTAAGACAGTTTCTACAAAAATTATGATTAAGTCACAAAATGGCTCCAGGATTCGTTCTCATTACTGAAGAAGTTCTAAATTATTGCCGAAAAAGCTATACTAATGTTAAGGTATCTATTCAAGTCAGCAATTCGTTTGGAGCTTATACCCGATATATGTTAAGTCGCAGAAGTTACCATGATTCCGAAGTCTGGAAAGGAAATGCACCAAAGTCAAATCATACAGGCCTATATCACTACTTCATGTCATCTACAAGTTATTAAAAAAAATGGTACTAATGAGACTTACACCAGTCATAGAAAGGAACAAACTTATCCTAGATTACCCATTCAAATTTAAAACAAAGCATTCCACTACCGACAAAGTGCATGATCGAAGAATTGGCTCTAAAGGGAAAGCATTTTCAAATGCACTATTCCTGGAAGTCGGACAGGTGTTCGACAAAGTTTTGCGAAAGGGACATATCAATAAAAAAAGCTTAATACTTCCAAGACATTACGTCGAGGTAATCAGTTTATATGTGCCAAATAGCACCTTCAGAGTCAAGCAAGATGGTGATTATTCTGATATTCTGGATACCATTGCTGGAGTACCCCAGGGGAGTGTTCTAGGTCCAGAATATATCAGATATTCCTGCTATGAGTGGTCTGACAGTTGCAGCATTTGCAGATGATACACATTGATTGCAACTGACAAGAATCTATTAAGGTCTGTTTTCAAAGTACAGACTGCTGCCAATAATTTAGTGAAATGGATCCAAAGATGGAAAATCTAATTGAAGTGAGTGAAGTCAATCCACGTTTGGTTTACAAACCGGAGATTGACAAGTCCGCATCAAATTAGCGTTAACGGCATGATCATACAATTGGAGTCTAACGCTAGACATTTAGGTATGACCCTTGACACCAGGCTCAAATAAAATGACCACATAAAAAAATGTTTATTGGCAAGATCCTCAAAGCTATCGCTTTATTTCAAAATCGTGATATATAATCAGGTCTTAAAACCGGTGTAGCTCTGTGGTTGTCAACTCTGGGGCTCTTCCAACAGTTTCAAGAAATTCTTCAAAGGTTCCAAAATAAAGTTCTGAGGAACATGGTAAATGCCTCTTAGTATATTCGTAATGGGGATATTCATCGCGATTTGAATATCTCTCTGGTTATGGACGAGAACCAGGCACGAAGAAAGGCTGCATCAGTAGTCCAATGAATGCAGAAGCTCTTCAGCTGCTGGACCAGTGTTGTCGAACCTTTTCTGTATTTCTACCGAAATTTGACCTTTTTTACCGAAATTACGAAAACGCTCTGATTGTCCACAATATTTTTAGATTGTATTCCAAAAACGAGCTAGAACCAAAGATAAAGCTAAAAAATGTATACGAGGTCTACAAATTAAGTGATGAGACTGGCAATGTAGCGTTCGCACTGGCAACACTGTGGGCGCCGGGCTTAGAGGGAGACCGGGGAACATGTGCTCCACCCTCAGTACGAGTTTGAACTCGCTCGAGTCATTTGGTTGTCCAAAGCGATTTTTTATTGTGAAACAGACTGTTTTTTAAATTTTTAATCCCAGTATAATTTCAATTTCATGTTGTCAGCCTCAAAATAACCCACACAGCGCTGGAGACGATTCTTCCACTCGTCCTGGCAGTGCTGGAACTCCGAATGTTTTCGACAGTCTGACAATGAGTTTCTTTGAGGTGATTTTCTAACTTCAGGATAAGAAAAAAGTCTCTTAAAGGACTCAAGTCAGGTGAATAAGGAGGCTGAGGAGCCACAGGAATGTTTTCACTGGCCAAAAACTTGTTTATTGTCTTTGCTGTGTGAAGAGCACTATCATGATGCAACACCCAGTTGTCCATGATCTGAGGACCAAGCCGTAGGAACTTGTCTAGTATTTTGTGTCTAAATCTAAGCATATGCGCGAGTTCTTAATGTCAGTATTAATTAATAGTTGATCAAATCGATCGGTTTTAATATTCATCGAAGCCACTCTAAAAATATAAAAAAAAATATGTTCTGCTTCTGTCTCATAGATGGCGCTAGTATGTTTCATAAGCCTTTTATGGACGTCGAAATACACTATATGTTTGGTTAACTTCAGGTAGATTACGTTACTCAATGCTTCAAGGCCATGCACCCATTCTAAATCCTCCTTTACCGGTAATCTTATAGTAATGCAACTGCATAAAACCCCATAAATTCTTATAATCGCACACTTCATAAGCAACGCCCCAACCAACAAACGGTATCCAGAAATGCGGCACTAAGAACACGATGAAGATGATTGAGTAGATGTACTCGTCGAACTTCTTGCTCTTGTTCAGTAGAATATCGAAGCGCTCAATGCCGACCAGTACCACGATCACTGTGGTGACCGCGTAGAAAATGTAAGCATAGATCATTGGAACACTGGTCCAACTGAAAGTGATCTTGCCTATTTTTCCACGTTGAACTGGCATCACGGCCAATATCTGAAATTTAAGGGGGTTGGTCACGTTTTTGTAGGTATACTCAGTAATATTAGAAGTGTTAAGACCGTCTGTCACGATATGAAATTTTGTGGTAAATTTGGTACAAAATTTTGTGTTAAATTTCGTACGAAATGAAGGATAGTGTCAGACAGCATTTAGTACATAGTTTTGTATGAACAAATTTAGTGCTAAATTTTGTAGAAACTGTTCTGAATAATATCATACAAAAAATGCGCAGACGACTACTGCGCATTTGGCAGATATAACCTCAAAGACTCATGTTATCAGTTGTGTTCTTCAGTTCCGCGAAACTCCCTGCGTATGCTATTCTACTTATAGATTGAAAATTTAAAAGATGTTATGATCAAAAGTGTGCCATATTAATAAGCGAGTATGAGAAATATGATTGTTTATATGCTGTAAAAAGCAAGGCCTAATTAGACAGAAAAGCTGCGTTGGATAAAATTAGAATTACTTAAGAACCAGTTAGGCCTATAAGCCTGTGGATCCTGCACTAGAAGTTCTTCATTCAGCATATGGAGCACACACATGCCCTGGTCCCTCGCCCTGATCCCTCTCCCTGATCGATTTTCGGCACCAAATTTTTTTACCGTTTCGCTTACGGATTGCTCCATTTTCTACAATTTTCTATTCGTTTAAAAATAAAGGAATAAAGTAGCAACCGCAAAAGAAAGTGTTGTTAGAGTGACTTTGACGTGATAAATGGCAGTTAGACCTTTACAATTCTAGTTTTTTTCTGCAAACTGCGCATGATGTTCGTTTCTTACGAAATTCAGTACAAAAATTTATTTACGTGTCAGACAATATTGTAATTTGTAAGCAAATTGGGAACTAAGTTCAGTAACGAATTTTCTCACAAAATTTGGTGCTAAATTTAGCACAAAATTTCGTATCGTGACAGACGGCCTTTACACCCAGAAAAAAATAATTTCTTCAACTTCATTTTTTGGTAATGAGGTAGAGCCAAAGAAGATGTAATTGTAGATTCTTAATCAAACAACAAATATTAAAGTTACAAAAGAGGCAGTGGCGTACATTTTTTGCCAGTAATATTCGCTAAGGAGCCCCACGGGACGCCGCTGGAGCTAATAATTTAATACAACAAATAACATTGCCAAATTTCAACAGAAGCAAATAAATATTTTTTAAGACATTTATATTTTTTTTAATGTAACACCCTGTGCCTTGAAAACTTTTTATTTCCGGACCCATGTTTATATAAACATATTCCAAATTTTTTAACAAGGAATCACCCTCTAAAATATATCCGTTTATTTTTCGAACACCCTGTATAATATTTAAGGATTTTTCGATTTATTCCCGAAAAGAATTTGGTTTCTAACATTTTCTATGTGCGTCTTTCTGATAATATTCGTATAGGTATAATAAAATTAAAACATTCCTACAATTTGACTATCTTCGTATCTATTTTTTAAATTATTTTAATCCTAATGCAACAAATTTATTGAAGTTACATATCCATAGTCATCGAAATATCAGGTTTTATCTAATTTCAAGTTTCCATGCAATACTGCTTTGGTACCAAGGTTGCAACTTATAAGAAACAGACTAAAGGGCACAAGCGTTCCTTATTCTGTCCCTTTATTCGTAATAACACAACCCACATTTTTCATTTACTAAATTATTCAGCATCTAACTCGGCCGAACGTTGTGTTAAAAGAGCTTGCATATTTTTTGGGTACATAAAGGATGGCTATTCCTACTTTGAAGATCTCATTTGATTTCCTATTTTTCTGATCTAATATTTTTGTGTGCATTGTCGCCCGAAAATACTCACCCTGAATAAATGAAGCAGCAACTTGTGATCTCTATAAAACTGATCGTGTTCATCAATATTTGCGCCATCGCTAGAATCCAACCTTTCCCTTTTTTGGATCTCCTGAGTTCTGCCACTTCTTCTCATGAATTTCATCAGTTCGACTAGGCTCAGTTGTTGGCCGTGCAGCTTCACTAGATCCTCGCCTTGTAAAGCCTCCATCTTTGCAGCTTCTATATGACTATCCTAGTAGTGTTTATAAGAACTTAACCCTAGGTTCTTGTTTTTTCCAGTTGCCAATCTATTCTTTTGAAATTCAAGTTCAAAAAGGCTAATGAGAAAAACTAATAAAAGGAAATGTGATTCTTCTAGAATGGTTAAAGCTGTTCATGCCTTTTGGAATAAGAAGATGAAAATAAAAGGTCGTACATATATACTGCTATCAAGCTCTACAACGCCTTGCCTACCGAGTTCACTCACCACTCTATAAAGAATTTAAAAAATTTCTCTGATTTCATTGCCCAGTAAGTAGACCATGGCCATGAATAGGGACTCGTTACAGGTTTATGTTAAATTTTTTGTTTTCATTGGGATTAGAAAATTTACACAAATATTTGTTGGGTTAAGTTGAAAAACGCTTTTTAGCGACACTTCGCCTTTTTATACTTTGTATAAATAAAGCCGGATTATTATTATAAAGCCGGATTATTATTAAATGGTAGAAAGCAAAAGTAAAAAAGAATCATACGTCTGCAGTTTTTGTCGCTAAATAATTTAAAACTATGCATCTATTTCAAATGTTTTGTGTTTTTGCTTAAGAATAAAGACTTAATGGATAATGAAACAATTCTTATTAGGGGTCCCTTTTGGGCACCTATGTTCAAATTAAGGATATATAAGGTTTATTAAAACAATCTTTTAATGATAATTTTTAACTATAGATTATAAAGGTATCACGTAAATGATGCTGAGCTTTTGAAACATATTTTTAGCTGCTTTTCTAATGATCTAAACCAATTACAAATTGGGCACACAATCCTCTATTTGATAATGTAATAATTTTTTATTCCGATGTGTGGAAGCTGACTGAATTTTCCTTTTCAGAGACTTCTGAATCTAACAGATACCTGTTTTCCTTCATCAAAAAGCTTTTTTAAATGGCTCAAAGAGAACAAGTTGCAATACGAGGGATGCCTTTTAAGTTTTGCATATGGAAATAAAACAACACGGTAGGTAGTTTTAAATGACTTTTCGAAGTATTCTCCACCGAGATACACATCCGCACTTATTCCACTCGTTTGTTGGCAGATCCAAAACGGCATTTTTGCATGCGTCAGCTGCTTCTTCTGGTGACTGGAACCTTTGACCACGCAGTCTGTTTTTAATATTCGGGAAAGTAAAGTAGTCGTTAGGACTTAGATCGGGACTATATGGTGGATGGTCTAATAATTCCACGTTTTCTTCCGTTAAATACTGCCTTGTTTTTTGGGCTGTGTGCGAGCTTGCATTATCTTGGTGGAGGATGATTCTTCTTTCGGGGTTGATTTTTCGAAGCTCGGTCATGACTTTTGGCAAACAAATGGAGGTATATCAATCCGCAGTAACAGTTCTTTGCTCAGTAAGAGGAATTGTTGCAATATGACCCGCTTTTAACACAAATGCCGCGACCATCTTTTTCGAAACACTTCGAGAACGGATGACTTTTGTTGGCTTTTCTTCACCTTGGAACACCCAAACAGCCGACTGTCATTTATTTTCTGGTTCATAACAGTAAATCCACGATTCATCACCACTAATAATGCTGTACACATTTTCTGAGTTTCCGGAATTGAAACGGTCAAGCGTTCTTTGACACCAATTAAACTTGGCTGCTTTTTGCTCTTCAGTCAACAGGTAGAATATGCAACGAGAAACTAATTTTCTTATTCCTAATTTTTCATGTAAAATTTTTTGAATTGAGGTCTTTGAGATCTTCAAGGACGCCTCAATCTTGCGATATGTCACATGTCTATCTTCACTGATGAGTTTGCGCACAGCATCGACGTTTTCCTGGCTGACTGCCGTTGTTGGTGCACCCACCCTGGGATCGTCGCTAAGACTCACCCGTTCACGTTTGAATTCTCCATACCTACGGGAAATTGTCGACTGATGTGGCGCTTCGTTGCCGAAAACAGACAGTAACTCAGCAAGGCATTCTTATGGCGCGAAAATGTTCTCGGTTGAGTTCCATTTTTCTAATGACTTGGTGACACTTAAAAATTCACTGTAGTGAGAACACTATTGTTGTGAAACTTTGAATTTAAGTTTACTAAAGAGTGAGGTTGAGATTCAGTACTGACGTTCGATCCGCGTGGCCTGCTATGTTTCTATATGCAAAACTTAAAAGATATCCTTCGTATATTAATGATCCTCAATTCATTAGAGTGTCAAAGGAAAGGAATGGCTTCCAACAAAATCGGCTGCGAAGCAGCTACAACGCAGCTACAAAATAAAGCTGGAGGAGTGTGAATGGTGGTTCTCCCCAATGGCGCTCCACGCTGGAGGTTAAGATCCCATTAGAAAATGGACGGGTAGTACCCAAGCCAACCAAGCTAAACGTCAGGTACAAAATAAAAAGGTACTACTCCATGAACTGGTGTTCAAGGCGTTAATATCCCAAAATCTGGAAGTTGACGAAAAAAACGCCCGCTCACAACCAAAATCACATCGGAAAAGCAAAATCCAAATGGTGCTGGACGCGTCGGTACGCAATTAAAAGAAGGCATATTGATAGTAAATCAAATCTTAACAGAAGATATCTTGATAGGAAGGTAAACATTCATATAAGACTAGTACGTGTAAAAATCGCAAGGTGGCGCGCTGATTGCCAACTCTGACTACGAGGGACCAAGAAAATTTTATGAGGAAATTTCTAATATAGTCGTTAATAATACTATAACACTAGCGTCTAACACATTTCAAAACAATATTGAGTCGCTAAGAAAAAAATATATAATACGATTGAAATTATACAATCAATAAACTATTAAATTTGCCAAAAGAAATACATTTTTTTTATATTCCAACTACCACGAAGGCCTAAGGTCTAAGCACCCATTGGGTACCGTGGGGCTATGGGGGACGCCACACGGACTCTGGCGAGGGAACACGTGTGCATGCAACATGCACACATTCTGGCTCCGCCTACGAGAACCGCCGGGTGGTACCTCCGCGTTCGACAGTCAGAGACCATCTACCACCTACGGACAATCACAACATCCATAGCCAAGAGAAAAATTTCTCCTGGGACGGGACTCGAACCCGCACAGCGCACGGCGACTGATCAGGAGACCGAAGAGTCTACTACTGCGGCCACCGCTGGTACTCTTATAATCAATAAAGAGAGATTCAAATTACTGATAAGAGATCAAAATATGTAGTAAAAAAACGTGATTTTGGCACGTGACAACCGTCTTTTACATATTATCGAGGGCCCCAAAATCACCCCTATGACATTAGATAAATGAAAGCAATGCTTCAAAATACACGATAAAATTTCTGAGGAAAACATCCCGGTACGAACTTTTGAGGGTTTTATTTTTATTTCTTTTTTTCAAATAATGGCATCGGAAACTTGAGTCCATTTACCACAAAATTTTGTTGATGGATTTATATTATCTGATCTTTGTGAGAGACGGTAAGAAAGAAAGAAGAGGGGGATATAACTGAATAGTTACGAATTCCAGACAAGGTTTATGTTATATGGTATTACTTTTATTTAAAAAATCTGTTAAATAGCCTGAAATTTTCTACAATTCAAGAAGAAGACATAGCCTGACAATAAGAGAGCGCTGGCGCTGACATAGAACATTAGAAATCTATAAATCTCCCAACCTTTCTGAAGGAAAGAAAAATCTCTGAAATCATGGAGGCCATAATGGCGTCCTGACGATACGGCCGTAATAGATGGGTCTCAAATACTGGATTTATAACAATTTTTTCTATGTGATTGTGGAGCACAATCATGTATCGAGCATAGAACTTCATCTATACATTCGGAATTGCATACTTACCTATCAATATCTTGTCACTCCCCTCGCAGTTCTTAAAGGTCAATTCTAATTTTCATATGAATGAGGGGAAATTGAGTCAAGAGGGTACCAGCCTCTGTGACACTTTTCGGAATATCGACCGAGCTGTAAATGTAGCTAAAATTCAAATAAGTACGCTTGTCACCTCAGGGTTAATTTCAAGTAATTGATAGTCTGCCGTAGCCTTCTCTAAATATAAAGTAAATAGCGTTTCGACAAAGTTCATTAAAAGTGCATACTTTGCTAACGGATCAAGTAACGTTTCCAGGAAAGAAATTAGTTGTTCCAGGAAAATTATGTACGATATATACTCAAAGACAGCCAGTAAAATATCTTCCATTCGAATGAAATTTTTCATGAATTAAAATATAAGTAAGAAGTCGTGAAGTAAAACCATTCGCTGAATCGCTCAACGAATTCGGACTAGATAGAAGGAGCACCTATACGGTTTGTTTGCGAAAAAATTTACATAGTGTAGTCAGGATGCAAGTTTATGCTATAAGTCAACTGGCTTAAGCCTCGAGTTTGACAGTTATTGACATTTTCAGTTAAATTCTTACAAAAACATATGAAAGTGCGTGGGTTCCATGCAATCCTAGTATTCCAGACAGTTATCGAAAATGGTGAAGCTTTCTGTGAATTGCAGAAAGCAATTTAAGCTGAATAAGAGTGAATCCTTTTATGGATAAGTGTTATACAGGGAGTCCAAGATAAGGGTCATATGCATAGTGATCTCAATAGCAGTGGGAGATACAGCTTAGGTTAAACTAGGAAAAGGCTGCGTTCTTTGGGGCGTATTCTTGAGAAACTTGAATAAAATTCATGGGTTACTGAGATATGGTATAATAATAATAATAAATTCATGATTTAAATTTAAATATCACATTATTAAGAGCAGGAATAGTGACCGTTTTCCTATGCCTCGTTTATGAAAACTGAGGAATGCTTGGTTGTTGGTATAGTGAAACAAAAGTCCATCCGA